AGTACTAGTTATTTTGATTGGGATTTCTATTCCCTTCTCTTGAATGTGAGAACAATCTCACTATTAATTCACCACCAACTATTGGTAAAGTGCTCACAGTTGAGTATAGTTCCACAGATTTATCTTCCCTTGAGACCCAACAATCATGGCTCCTTACCCAAGCCTCATGGATCTCAGAAATTGGGTGGCAGATTTTTTTTTTTTTGGTGGACTGAAAAACAGTTCACAGCATCATGTCTTTAAAAGTTATTCCAGAGTTTTGTATTTGTCCTGAGTTTTCATGATTACGAACCAAATGTATCATAATAAATAAATAAATAAATATTTATGATATTATAAATAAATATTGTAACAAATCTTTCAAAATTTCTTTGGCAAAGTTAGCAGTAAGATAGTGTTCTCCTTATTCCCGAACAAACTCAAGCGACGTAAAAAAAAAAGCAATGTAACTCTAGCTACATGATATATGCTAGCACAGTGTGTTTGTTAGCATCTTACCACATACAACTAATAACTTCCTTACACCTCTTACTTATTTTTAATGTATTTATCCTTGCTAATTTACTTCATTATTGGTGTATTTTTGTCCCACTGCAGTATTAGTAATGCTTTTTGTATCCTTAATACAGTAGCACAAAAAAAAAAGGTCCAAATTTTTTGGGAAAAATGCTTTTCCCTCTTTTTCAGGCCATGATCTCAACCCTTCTTCACCTTATCACGGTATATTGTACAAGGGAAAGTTTATAGCTGTTTGGAGAGCAAATAGCTATTTTATTGGAGAAATGCCCACATAATGAACTCTTCTCTCTTGTTTCTTTTTCTTGGTTTGGAAAAGATGATCCATGTGTTTGTGTCATCTTGCTTAGATCACGGTAAAGTAGGCAGGAGCTGAAATCTCTTCAGCTTTACGCTTCGTATACTTTCAAATACTGCTGCATGATTCGTCTGTGGTGTAAAGTGGAGAGGATCATATTACTCCAATTTTAGCTTTACTTCATTTGAAGTCCACTGCAGTCTCAGCCTTGCTCTTATTTTTTTACAATCTGCTCTACCACTAGACACGCGAGGTCTTCTGATCAGCTTCATTTCACTGTTCCTTTCTTAATAGAAACATTAAGAGAAAAATGTTACTGAGATTTTGCAGTTGCTGCCCCAAGACTCAACAAACGTCCTTGACATTGACATACATATCTTCTTTCTCCATTTTTTAGAGTAAAAACTCAAAGCCTTTTATTTAGTAGCACACATAAACAACTGGATATGATCATGTCTACTACTTAAATTAATTACTTTCATTTGTTTCTGATTCATGCTACAGTTCTATTATTAAAATGTACACACTAACTAGCTGATGTGATTACTTTGAAAGCGGTGTGCTTTGAAAGTGTGAAATTATACAATTTTGAACAATTTAATTTCGCACACAATTCAGCAAAGGCAAGGGCTTGAGGACGTGAATCACATGACTTAGAATTGTATGATGGCAGTCAAGAAGCAAAACTATAATTGGAACAATTTTGCCCAAAATTTCATTACTAATAATTGCTTGGTATGTTTCTGTATTCTGTGAAATTAATGCAAATTAATGAGCACCCTTATAACTACAGAAAATGTTGTTATATAAAGTCATAGGTAAACTGTTAATGATGGAGAATCTTGCCATTTGTTTTCTCTTTCAGGGCAGATTCCATGTTAACTGACCAAATTAATTTGTTAATACTTCTAGTTATGTTCTGTGGCAAATAGTTTTCTTCTCATTTCAGGTGTAGTTTTTTCTACACATATATCTATCTATATATATATATATATATATATATATATATATATATATATATATATATATATATATATATTGTTTATCCATTTATTAGCATTGAGTTACATATATTATTGCACAAGTATTATAACACCTGATTACTGAAATCACTATTTGGTGATTACCATTATATTAATTATGTTCTATGTCCAGAGGAAGTCACTGAGAACATGTGAAAAAGAGAAGACAGGTCTGGCAATATTTCTGCTGCAGGGATCAGCACTGTTGTGCAAATTAGGTGTGCACTGGAACTAAAAGTCTCGCAGTAGTCACTTTTTGCACTCATGCAGGCAGGAGAAGCCAGTCAGATATGAAACTCATGGGACAAACAAGAGAAACAGAGCCTTTGCATAACTATTCACCCCCATGAACTTTTCCACATTTTGTGGTGCTACAACCTGAAACTGAAATGGACTTAATTGGGGATATATGCCATAAATCTACACAAAATAGCAGGGTGGAGTGAAACTCTATATAGTTTGCAAAAGTATTTACAAATAAAAAAATCTAAAAAAAAGTTGTGATTGCATAAGTGTTCACCCCTTTGCCATGAAACCCTTAAATTAGTTAGTCCACCTTTGTGTAATTAAAGTGTCAAGCAATCTCAATATAAATATATTTGTTTCTCAAATGCTCCAGAGTTTGTTAAAGAATATACCACAACAAATACCATCATGAAGACCAAGGAGCTATCAAAACAACTACAGGACAGAACTTAGGTTTCAGTCAGAGTTTATAATTAAAAAAAAAAATCAACCTTTCAACATCGAATGGAGCTCAAATGTCATGTGGCACAACTGCAACTCTGTCTAGAGGAGGTTGTCCAGAAAAAAAATTCTGATTGGGTAAGGAGGGCATTAGTCAGAAAAGCAACCTAGTCCAAGGGTAACTTTGAAGCACCTGGAGACATCTACAGTTCAGATGGGAGAAGGTGTTCACAGGACACGCATAGCTCATGCACTCCACAGTGTTGGGCTTTATGGAAGAGTGGCATGGGATATGAGGCAGGTTGGAGACAAATGGAAAAAAGGTTCTCTGGTCTGATGTGCACAAAGTACAATGTTTGGTGGAACCTTACACTACTCATTACCCTGAGAACGTCATCCGCACAGAGAAGCATGGTGGTGGTAGCATCATGTTGAAAGTTGTGCTTGGCATCTTGGTTGCTGATGCTTTAGAGCATATGCTGTTACAGTAGGACTACAGGCTAAATTACTGGGCTGACATATTCATTTCACATTCCTTATGAACTCTTATGGATATTCAAATGTTAAAATCATGCAGAACAGTAGGTACGTCCTTATTTCAGACTTGTTTATAACTCAAAGTTTAGGACTTGGGACTTGCCTTGGGACATTATGCAGGAAACAAACAGTCTGCCTGTAGGAAAGTCCATCAGGCGTTTTAGCTTCAATAATAACTGTAGTTTATTGAAATTAATATTCCAAAGCCTACTATATTAGAAATATGCCTTTATCTATTAGACTGTGAGCATTGTTATGTGGGGATTATGAACACAGTTAGGTCTAAAGTTTTCCTCACATCACAGGAAGTCACACTTCTGAAGGCATATTTCCTGTGCTCAGTGTTAGTGTGAAGCATTTTTCAGCATACTATAGACAAATATACTATATTGGGTGTATTTACAGTATATATATATATATATATA